GTATTTTAACCAATGAAAAGAAACATGTTTTCAGCTGAGGTTTGAAGAGAGTTATGGAGCCAGAAATGCTGTTCTAGATGTGGCAGGGGGAAGGGGTCCTAATCTGACAGTGGCAAAACTGTTGAAGGAACAGACAGGACAGCAAAGCTACGTGAGGAGAAAGGTGCCAGTGGCTGGAGAAAAATACACCATTTTATAGAGCTATAAATCTAAATAAATAAAATACCCATTCACATCCAAAGTTCTCATCCAAATAGCTCAAAATGTTTTATTAAGGATGATTAAGGCCTGTCTGCCCATCCAGGAAAAGCTATTGTAAAATAACCACTCTTCAATAACTCCATATGTGGACACTTATTCCAGTATAAGAATGCTTTAGTCCTGCTTGGCTTCATCCATGTTGTACAGGAATAGTTAACTGTGCTTTAAAATTCGCACCTGGCCTTCAACCAAATTATGTTAAACAATAATGCATCAATGGATGGTCTGTTTAGAATAATCCTACCAGTGGCCCCTTCTCCATGTCATGGATTGAGGATGGGGGGAAGACAACATGCAGGAAGGAAGCTGCAGGAGACTCCAGTGTTGGATACAAATGTCCAACTCGGGATCCTTAAAATTCTGGTTTATTAGGCGGATTGAAACACTGTAATGCGTGAAATCATAAACCTTGGGGCTGGTCCCCACACACACACACACACACACACACCAGCAAGCTACAAGAGTCAGGTATACTTATCCTACATGTGCTGGAGTCTGCCGTTGATGGCCAGTCGAGGCTTCTTTCAGCGTGGTGTTATCCTACAGAAGGGGGTCGCTGGCTGGTCCTTCTGGCTGGACAGGTCTGGTCGAGTTGGAGATCAAGAGGGCGCCACTGAGGGTCACTTTTCACTGCCTTTTATCTGTCCTTGGCAGACTTTGGTGACTCCCCAGTTTTCAGGTTTGCCCAATCCAGGGGTCATTGACCCTCGTGGGACTTCCCCCCTCGGTGGCTACTGGATGGTATCTGTCAGCCCCAGGGGTCGTCCGCATGTACGTGCAGGTTTGGGAGTCTGTTGATGAATTTTGAATAGGGCTCTGGGAGCGGTCGATTTGGACATATTCAGCCCAAAAGTTGGTCCCTGGCGTTGATTAACTCAGGCCAGGGCTTCTAGCCCTTGATCAGTGAGGTTTAGAGATTTCCCGGTTGTTACATTGTCTTCTATTGAGTTCTTCCCTTGGTTGATCTGCAGTTTTCTTAGGTGTTAATTGCTGCCTGCTACCGTGTTACACATTCAATCACTGATTCACTCGCTCTTTCAGGGGCCAGCCTAATACAGAGAAGGGCAGTTTGATTCCTGCCCTTGTTAACATTGTTACAATGTATAACTTACTTATGAAACTAAACACATTTAGTTAAAAGTTGAAAGGTGAGGAGTATAAAATATAAGCTACAAAAATAATGCCATGGCACATAAATAGATAAAAATACCAAAATACAAGGGGAGATACAAAATGCACACACACAAATTTCAAAACACAATTCCTTATCTTAAAGTGAAAGAAAGAGGAAGGAAGAAAAGGTAGAAGAGGAAAAACATATCCAAGGAGGGGAGAGCAACTGCAGGCAAGAGAAAAAGGGGCTTTCTGCTACACCAGCTAGCAGGAGCTACTGAAGCAGCCACAGTAGGGACCTCAGACTCAGTGGGCACATCTACACACACAGTAATGCACTGTAATTATCGTGGATTAAGTTAGTACCTGTTATTACAAGTACTAAATGTGTCATAAATGGTGCTACTCTGCAGTAGCGTCAGCGCATCTTATGCACCACTAATGCACAGTAGACTAATTCTACTGCGCATTAGCACAGCTTTTGCCATGACACACTATTACTCATTAGAATTAGTCTACTGTGCTTTTAGCATCTCATATAGACACCTCCACTGATTGCCCTTCTCTATGTTGGAGCAACAGCTTGTCAACACATTTTCTTCCTCCTTCCTCACCATCTCATCTCAGTTTCCTTCCATGATTGCCTCTCTTCCCCTTTTCTTTCCCCTCATCCTCTCTCCCTTTTCTTTCCAGTTAGTTCATCCCTCCCAGCTAACTCACCCACCAAAAAGTTTCACTTCTTTCCTCATCCTGTGCCCATCTTTCCCATTTAGATTGCAGGTTCTTTGGCTTGGGAATCAACCCGCCAGAATGGAACTACTTTACTCGTGTTATGGTGGTGTCTAATTTAGAACAACCAAACCTGAACAAAATGGATGAACTATGGATCATTTCAGCTTCAGCATATTTAAAAAATCCTGGATATTTTATTATGAAGTGATCTTTTGCTAATTCTTCTGGGGCTTTCTTGCAGAAATGGTCACCCAAAGATTTAAAGGATTTGTTATCCTCTCCTGGTAACTATGAAGAGAAAAAGAAAAACAGTTGAAAGGTAGAGAACTAGGTCCCTCAAAGGTTGCTACATGAAAATCAACACATTAATTACATACCCAGCAAAAAGGCAAAGGACAAATAGATACCAGTACTAAAATATCCTTTTATTGCAACTTTTCTGGCAAATCACGGAGTCTGTCTTTGTTTGCTCCAGGTCACTTCCTTTAGACCTCACCTGGTCCTGCAGAAAGAGAGAGATTGTCATCTGATCTCAGCAGTCTTTCCAGCCCAAGTGGAGTGGGGGCTAGACCCGATGATCTGTAACGTCCCTTTCAGCCCCTAACAACTATGAAACTGAGGAAAACATACCTCTCCAGTCCCCACTTCATGCTTACATTTTCTTATTCCCCACCCCCCTAACATTCAGATCCTTTGTTACTTTGGCAAGCCTTTTCAAAACCCCTGCATCACTGGTTTTACTATTGCCTTGTTTGGAGATTTTTCACTCTCCACTTCCTCCTACTAGAAAAGTTGAAAAAAAACCCCAGAAAACACTTCATTGTCCGCATTTTTCAGCCATCCCACTGTCTCAAGGTGCTTCCACAGGAACAGCGGCTGTTCAGAGGAATAACTCTGTATTGTCAGCCTTATGTCAGCCCTCTTTAGAATTTCATTGGAGGTAAAAAAGAGAACAGAGCAGGCACTCAACCATATTCAAACTGGAGTCTGCAGTCTGATGCAGACAAAAAATTCCCAGTAGTGAACTAAATCCATAAAGTGTATGGAGACAGACTCCCTAAATTACCATGCTGAGGAAGAACCAAATTATTATTATTCCAATTCATTTCTATTTGGGGGCCAGAAAAGATTTCTCAAGTCTAACTCTGTGAAGACTAAGTTAATTTCAGGGCCAGGATACTGTGATCAAAGTTCTGAAGAAAAGGTGAGAAGCATCCCTCTGTTCCTCACAAGGGACTTCTGGACTCAGTCTTCTGTGGAAAGGGTTTTCTGTTCATGGCTTAGAAATGACTATTATAAGACTCTCCCATTAAAACCAAAACTAAAGAGAAGGAGGGAGCAAAATGTTTTGTATGCCAATGCCAGCACAGTCTCTTATGATTTCCCTGATGGATCACATCTGCCTGCATACTCCTGTATGAAGATGAGCATGCAATTTGATGTTGGCTTGGGCTCTGTTCCTCAAACTTCCCACTTCTAACAAAACCAAAGTCTGTGTTTTGCAGCCTTGTATCTCCTGGCAAGCCCCTCTACTGTGCTGCTCTATCTGATCTCCAGCAGCATCATCCACATGGAACACAGCTCTTTAAATAGGTAAGGCAGATGTGAGAGAGGCCATCTATCTCTGTCCAATGTAATTTAAATAGAAGAGAAGGGGAGAATGTGGCATAAGGTCATGTGATTTGGATTTTATGCATCTAGCACAAATTACAGTATTTCCATTAAACCAGGGGTTGTCAACTAGGGGTTGTCAACCAGGGGTACCCTCCCCATCCCCGCTCATCAACCAGTTGGGGGACTCCCTGCTTCTCAACCAGCCACTGGGGGTACACCAACCAAAAAAGGTTGAAAACCCCTGCACTAAACCATTCTTCAATATATTTTAAGCCAGATCAGGTTTCCACACTAGGACTGGGATCAAGTCACACGCGTAGCATCCAGTAGGTCCCAGGATAGCAAGGACTGAAGGGATTTTTGACTACTTGCATTGCATGAGCCATGGTCCTCAACCTAGAATCCTCTGAACCAAATATTTCTCTACTCTTGAAGGAGAAGGACATTGTCACCTCTCCCATCTTTCATCTGTGCTGGGCCATACAGTGTTTTTGGTTTTGTTTATAAAGCACCTTGTGGTTGTGATGTGTGCGAGGGGTAGTTTCTAGGACTCTGGACAACTGGCTGCCAACAAATGCAGGGGACTGGAGAAGTCTCTTTCAGTGTATGGTTCCTGTCTACCAGTAGCATAACTAGGCTTGGGTGAAAGAGGCACAAGCCTCAGGCACTGACTGGGGGTGGAGGAGCACTAGAATGGTGGCAGGGGCAGGAAAGCTCCAGCTGCAGGGAGTGGGAACAGGAGTCCCCTTATCAGCTTCTGCCATGGGAGACACCATTGCTCTGGTGCAGCCAAGGGGTTAAACCTGCCAGGTATAGGCATCTCTAGGGTGACTACCTTTTCAAAATGGAAAGGTGGGACACATGCCCACCTTCCCCCTTGCCTTCCCCCTCTTCAGCGGCATGGCTAGAACAGAGCCTAGCAGAGCTTGGGGGGTGGGGGTGGTGATGGATGTTGGCTGTCTGCTGCAAGCTCAGGGCTCCCCACCCTGCTGCCCTCCCCCCGAGCCCTACGCCAGCCACGCTGCCATAGCAAGGTGCCCCCTGGCTACCCAGCAGCAGCAAGGGGCACAATTCTGCATCACCACCACTGCCCCTGCTGCTGCTAAGCAGGCAGGCTGTGCCTTGCTATGTCAGTGTGGCAGGGAGCTCAAATTTGCCCCTGGGAGGGACAGCAGGGCAAGCAGCCTGCATCTGCTCCCCACCCCATGCACAAATTTGCACACCGTGCCCCCCTGCCCAGGAGTGCATGCAGTAGCGGGGAGCCATTCCCTAAATGAGCCACCTGTGGCTCTGTCCCACTCCCCCAGCTGGGGCCCACAGCCATACATTCCCTCCCTGGCTGCAGGTCCCATGTACCACCCCTGGCTGGGCAGCGCCCCTAGCCTCACTCCCTCCCTCCCTCCCCATGCAGGCCTCAGTCTGCCTCCCCCACCCCACTCTGCCGCATAGACTTAACCTGCAGGGAGCTGCTCTCCACCCTGCCTGGCTGTATTCCTGGCAACGTACATGTGTGTGCATGCACATACACACGGCGCCCCGTGCATCCTGCTCCCCACAGCCCCAAGCAGCCCCTTGCAGACTGGAACTCTGCCAGCTTGCAAGGGGAAACCCACTGTTTCCTGTGTTTTTCCGTGGTGAACAGAAAACCCAGATCCTTGCACAGTGCTGCGCATCCAGGACAAATGCTGTCCCAGGGTCATCCAGCTTGAGCCTGGGACTTGATGTTCACATTTCAGGACTGTCCCACCCAATTAAGGATGGGTGGTCACCCTACTTCTTTCATCCCTGGAGTCACGCACCCAGGCAGCTACCATACTAATCTCACAGTATTGGCTGCATGGACACCTTCCCCTCCTACAATAGCTGCTATTTTTTGCTGACCAAGTAGGTACCTTACCAATGGCTTTGTGTAGTGGAGGATGCATCCTTGTCTGTTTGCTGACAGGACTCCCTAGGAGAGCCTCATAGTTAGCTTGCCACTGGCCAGCTTCCAGTAGGAGAATCTTAGCTACACGCCAACTTTATGAAAATGGGAGACTCCTCCCTAGCTTGCTCCTGCAGCCATATGGCTAAGGGCAAGCAAAACTTGGGGGCATCTGAACCCCAAACCTCCGGGCTTGGTCCTGCACGTAGGATGCCTGCCAAAGGATTTGGAAGCATCTGAAACCCCAGGCTGGGGCGGAAGATACTTGCTGGGAGCAGGGCCACATATGGTTCCTGAATGATTTGAACCTGATCAGGTTAATTTGACCTAGGACATTATTATTTATTTATAAGGAAAATAAGCTGCTATTCTTCGCTGGCTCAGAGCAGTTCCTACCAGTTGTGCCTTTGCTGTCTACCACAGGCCTTTTGGAGAATGGGGGCTCTCACCACTCATTATAGGCATTGCTGTTTGGACCTCTGATTGGTGAGCAGGAAGCAGAATACAAACCAGAAACAAACTCCCCCAAATGAGTGTCAGTGACTGGCTGAGTCTATGCTTACATTGGGAGGGATATGAATGTCATGTGACTGCTGCTTACATGAGAGTTTCATTGTTACCTTATTCTCCTGACAGCCTGTGTTTGTTTGTCCTGGCTTGCATAGCTTTTTGTTGCTACGCTAAGCAATTTGGGGCAGTGCCCGTCTCCTGGTTATTCCACAGGCAGAGTCCCACATCACTGCCTGCTTCCCAGATTTTGTCTGGATCTTAAAAGATGTGGAGCTGGATCTGCAGACTGGTCACAGAGAAGTCACTGAGGTTGAATACTTGGAGCATGTGCTAAAGACAAAGCCAGGTAGGTTTGTTAGGAACAGAAGTGTCAAGAAAAAAGCTTGGTTGAGCTCCAACTACCAAGTTTCACCCTAACTTTGATTAGCATCAGTGGAAGGCGTGGAGCTACATCCCCTAAAGAACCTTGAAAATTCCCTTTGATGGGTTACCAAATCCTGCCTTTGGTTACTTATGTGAAAATAACTTTTTAGAGTATTTACTTTTCACCATGGATTTTCAATGTCTGTGAAGAGCTTTCCTGTAGTTTTGATTCAAGGAATTACCTTATGCCAGGGGTGGATCCAAGGATTTCCCCAAAGGTTGTTGCACCCCTGACTCCCTGCATTGATGCCTCCTCTATCTGCACTCTCAGGAGCCTTCAGGGACTTTTTAAAGTCCCTAAAATCCTCCCTCTCCTTCCTTTCTCCTACATGCCACTGTTGCTTTCCCCACTGTTCCCAAGGCAGGGGAAGCACCAGAGCTGCTACTACTCACCCCAGCCAGGTTGTGCTAGGCTCATCTGGGAATGGGGACAGCAGCAACAGCAGGGCAAGAGAGTAGTTCCCCCTTTCTGCCCCATCTCCTGGGAGCAGGCATGGGTAAGAGGGGATCCCCCCTGCCCATCCCCACTGCTGCTTTCCCTGTCCCCAGCTGAGTCCAGCCTACCTGCAGCCTGGCTGTGGCAGATGGGAACAGCTCTGGTGCTTCCCCCACCCCTGGCACAGCAAGGAAAGCGATAGGAAGAGGCTGGGAGGAAGAGGGCTGGCAGGGAGGGGCTAGGTCAGTGGAGGGGAGGAGGATTTTCACCTCCTCTAAGGGCTTAAAATCCCCCTCTGGATACTCCCATTATACGGTCCAATCCAAAACGGGATGGCAGGCAGCTTCACCACCGCACTCCCTCTGGATCTGTCCCTGCTTTCTAAAAAGCCTGGGTCTCATATAAACAGTTTCACACAACCTTCAAACCAGACAGGCTGTCTAACACAAGGCCAACGGATACACATACAGCCTGGGAAACAGGGGGCATGTACCATACTGTTCCATAACATGAGATAAGGCGGCACCAGCTAACAAGGCCCCAGAGAGGGAGGGCCCGAGTCTCGGTCTCAGGGGAACAAACCAAATTAGGAGAA